GTGGCGCTTGCGTTCTGCAGTTTTGCTGCGTACCAGCCTGCCTGTTTTGTGCACTGTTCTCGCGCCAGGGCGGAGGCCGAACCGAGGGGGTAGGTGGCTTGCAACCGACTCTGGATCGCCTCCGAACGCCATGACAGAGCAAGGTTGTCCAGTGGGCGGCCAGCAGCCTTGGGAACTGTGTTGCTCTGCTTTGGCGCGTGTGAGCTGCTGTAGCGGGCTGAGTCGACGTGACTGCTCGGATGCCGTACTACCGTTTGCGTCGGTTGGGGCGGTGGGCGGCTTCTTGGCACTCAGGTGAATCTGCGAGGGTGCGTTGAGGCGCACGAGACCGAGCGTTGCTGCCGAAGGGCCACAGGGAAACGCTTCGGTCCGAGGGGCAGTTCGAGCTAGGAGCTCCTGACCTCTTTAGACGCGTGGATCATCATCACCAGCAGCATCACCATCATCAGCATCATCACCATTAGCATCATCAGCAGCAGCAGCATCATCATCTTCATCTTCATCATCATCATCATCATCATCATCATCATCATCATCATCATCATCATCATCATCATCATCATCAGCGGGCCACCTGGGCCTCAGACGGCTGGGCGGAAGCGCCAGGCCCTTGGCCAGGAGGCCGACGCGCGGCGCGCCCGCGCGCGGACCGCCGCGGGCGCGGGCCGACGAGGCGCCGAGGGCGCGGGAACCGCCGTCGTTGGCGCCGCGACGTCGGCGGCGCTGGCGGCCCAGGCTCGCGGAGGCGCCCAGCACGGCGACGGCAGCGCGGAGGAGAGCGGCGCAGCCGCCCGCGGGCGCCGAGGCCGCGGGCGGCCGCCCGCGTTGGTGGAACGCGAGTTTCGATGAGTCGCACCGCCTCTGGGCATTCGGCGAAGGGCAGCGCCGCCTCGTCTTCTGCGCGGTCTGCGACTGCTACGCGGACGGGGCGCGCGTGGTCTCGTTCCGCAGCCAGTGCGCGGGAGGAACCAGCACCCGCCAGGCCGCCGCACTGAGGAGGATGCGGCAGGGGAGGCACCCCACGCGGAGAGGCGCGAGCGCCGAACTCGGCGGCGGCCGCCCCGAGCCGTTGAGCCGCCAGCGCAGCCGTTCGCGGGGGCGCGGCTCGGAGGCGGGAGGCCCGTGCCGCTGAGCGCCACAGCGCGTTCCCCCCACCCTTCTCCTCCATCGGCGGGGCCCGAGGGCCCCCGTGCATATGCATGTTAATGTATACCGGCTGCGCCGAGCACCGCTCCCAGACCGTTATGTCCTTACCCGAGCATCATCATCATCATCAGCATCATCATCATCATCATCATCATCATCATCATCATCATCAGCAGCAGCAGCAGCAGCAGCATGAGCAGCAGCAGCAGCAGCAGCAGCAGCAGAAGCAGCATCTGCGGCGGCAGCATCATCATCTTCATCAGCACCAGCATAATCAGTAGCATCATCATCAGCAGCAGCATCCTCATCACATCACCATCATCATCATCATCATCATCATCAGCAGCAGCAGCAGCAGCAGAAGCAGCATCTGCGGCGGCAGCATCATCATCTTCATCATCACCAGCATAATCAGTAGCATCATCATCAGCAGCAGCATCCTCATCACATCACCATCATCAGCATCATCAGTTGCAGAATCAGCAGGAGCGGCAGCATCAGCATCTGCAGCATCACCCTCGCCATAGTCATCACCATAATGATACAGTCAACCCGCACTGAAAGGATCAGCAATTTTCCAAGGTTGTCCTTGCAGGCTCCCCCTTCGGCCCATCCCTGGCCGTTTTCGCTGGCCACGCCCCGCCCGCAAAGTGTCGGTATGGTCTTCCAATGCCCTTGCATCCTTGTCGTGGGTCTTTATTATACAAGGTGGCTGCAATCAACATCACCATCATCATCAGCAGCAGCATCAGCAGAAGTACCACCATCATTGAGAGGGGCAGCAGAACCAGGAGGAGGAGGGGGCAGTTGGATAGGGAGCGGGAGGAGCAGCAGGAGCAGCAGGAGGGAGAGAAAAAGTAGTAGTCAGCAGGATGGACAAACGAAGAGGAGGAGGAGGAGGAGGAGGAGGAGGAGGAGGAGGAGGGCCACGTAGGAGCAAGATGAAAAGCAGCGGGAGCACCGAGAGGAGCACTAGCAGCAGGACGGAAGAGGAGGAGCAGCGGGAGGAGGAGCAGGAACGAGAAGGTGGCGGTAGCAAGCTGAAGGACAAGGGTACAGGAGGATCAAGCAGCTATCAGGGAGAAGGGAAGGGGGGGCAGTGGCAGGAGAGTGATCACGACTGCTGCGAGCTAAGAGAGGATGGAGGACGGCGAGGCGAGGTGGGATGAGGACGAGGAGCGATGTGGAGAGACAGAGACAGAGGCGGAGAGGGGACAGCCCGCGGCACAGGACGCAGCCCCTGGGCATGCCGCGCGCAACACGCACGAGCGCACGCGCGAGAGGCCGCTTGGCACGGCCATGGAGCGAAGCACATGCACTGCGTGCTGCGAGCGATCGTCACCCAGCGGTGCACGCGTGTCTCTCCGGCCCAGCACCCCGCGACGATGGCGCGGCGGCTCCCCTGAAAACCACGGGCTCTCAGAGGTGGTTCCAGCCTCCTTGCTTTTTTCCCCGCCCCGCCTCCACCATGCTCTTCTCGGAGAAGAGAAGACTACATCTCCTCCTCCTCCTCTAACTCCTCCTCCTTCTCCTCCTCCTGCTCCTCCTCCTCCTCCTCATCCTCATCCTCCTCCTCTTCCTCCCCCTCCTCCTCCTCCTCCTCCTCCTCTCTCCTCCTCCTCCCTCCTCCCTCCTTGTCCCTCCTCCCCTCCTCTCCTCCTCCTTCTCCTCCTCCTCTTCTCCTCCTCCTTCTACTCCTCCGCCTCCTCCTTTCTTCCTCCTTCTCCTCCTCCTCCTTCTCCTCCTCTTCCTCTTCCTCACCTCCTCCTCCTCCTCCTCGTCCTCCTGTTCCTCCTCCTCCTTCTCCTCCTTCTCCTCCTCCTCCTCCTCCTCCTGTTCCTCCTCCTCCTCCTCCTTCTCCTCCTCCTCCTCCTCCTCCTCCTCGTCCTCGGCCTCCTTCTCAAACATACAATTTCGGAGGTCCGCGTGGATTTCTTCGATCAGCGCTGGATCCCCATGTCCAGCGCACCAAACGCGACAGGAGCGGCGCCAGCGGCGCCGCCAGGGAGGTCCAGCGCCGATCGAGGAAGTCCACCTGGGGTTCCGAAGGTTTATGGTCATGCCGTTGTTTTGTTCCGCGTGCTCTTTCTGTGTGCCGAAACAATCGAGGCAAGGCCTAAAAGGCGCGTGCTGGGGCCGTAGGTGAAGCTTCCTCTGAGGGCTCGGTAGGTACAAGGGCGTGCCGCCATGGGCTGGGAGGGCGGCATACGTTGGCGCCCACTGGGGCGATAAGTGGAATCTCCCTGTGGCTGTGCGAAACCTGTGAGGGGTGTGCCGGCATGGGCGCGGGTCAAGAATGGGAGCAGACTCGAAGATGGAGGATGGAGGAGGACGTGGGAGACAAGCATGTCATTGACATGTTTACAATGCTGGGCGCACGGCCAGAATGTCGCCGACCTTTTTGGACTGGTCGACGTCGACCTCAAACTGGTCGACGTCGACCTCAAAGGCGGGGTAACATTTAAGCTGACTGTAGTAAGCATGTCCGACGGCATACTTCGGACATGTTGGAATGCGTTCAAGATGCCTGTGGGTCCTTCTTAGATGTGAGAGCACTCTGTCAGAGCACGTCTGCAGCGGGCGAACAGGTGGGCGAATATGTCTGGCAAGCAAGTGCACCGCGCGGGTCACGCAGCGCAGACAGACAGAACACTCGGGGCTCAGGGGCAAGATTTGGATGACCCCTCCTGCTCCTCCTCCTCCTCCTCCTCCTCCTCCTCCTCCTCCTCCTCCTCCGCCTCCTCCGCCTCCTCCGCCTCCTCCTCCTCCTCCTCCTCCGCCTCCTCCGCCTCCTCCTCCTCCTCCTCCTCCTCTCCTCCTCCTCCTCTCCTCCTCCTCCTCCTGTTCCTCCTCCTCCTTTTCCTCCTCCTCCTCCTCCCACCCGATCCCCTATCCTTTTCTCCCAACTCTTGCTCCCGCCCCGGCCGTCCTACGGCGTGTCGCAAGCATTCGCCCCCCAGCAATGCACAAGTTTCTCTCCTTGGCCCGCACGGGCCCCGCTGCGAGAGAGCACACTGCGGCCCTCGTGCAGGGCCAGGACGTCAGAGGTGGGCCGGCTGGAGATGGGCCGGCTGAGCCTTCCTTCCTCCTCCCTCCGCATTCCTCCTGTCCCTTTCGACGAAAGTCCGCGCGGAGTTCTTGGATCGGCGCTGGACCTCTGGCGGCGCCTCCAGCGCCGCAAGTGGCGCGCTTCGCGCGCCGGAGGTGCCGCGAGGGAGGTGCGCGCCGACCCGAGACATCCGCGCGGACCTCCGACTGCTTGTGTGCATGCCGTCTGTCGCCTCCTCCTCCCCCCCCGCCCTGGGTCCGTACCCTGGGTTTCTGAATAAGCGGAGGGGGCAACTACCCCCCCGACAGGGGTCAACCTCGCCTCGTCGTCGCGCCGCGACGGGGGTCGGAGCGCCTTCGGCGCGCGGTGGCTGCCCGCGACGGGGGTCGACGTGGGGCTGTCGGCGGGGGTGACGCCCCCCCGACGCTTACTAAGAAACTCGGAGTACACATTGTTCATTTCTAATGCGTCGGAAGGTCTTTACTCTTTGGGGGGGCCGAGATCCTTTCAGTTCTACTTGTTCGATCCTGGGCCTCTTCCTAGCCACTAGGGGGCCAGGAAGAATCAGAAACGAGCACAATTGGAACTGAGCAAGATCAGAGATGAACGACGTCTACAGGCAGCTTCTGGACGAAAAATAAAAGGGAGTCAAACATACGCCAGGAATGCCCAAAAACATTCGCAAAATCGTCCCCGGGCTATTTCTTGGAGTAGCCATTTTGGCTCGGGCCGCCTCGGCTCCGGCAGCGACCCACGGCCCAGAGCACAAGCCCCGACCGAAGGCCTCCTCCGGGCGGCTGGCCTCATGGGCGTGGCAGAGCGCCGCGCCCCGGCGCGCCACCACCTCGACGCCGAGGAGGCGGGCGCGCTGCCCCCCGCGGGGCACCGCGGCGTCCCCGACGCCGACCCGGAGGAACTGCCCGACTAGAGCGTGTTTTTTAATTGCTTGGGGCATGATGGGCATTGTAGCCCCCGCCCCCCCCCCTCACCCCCCCCCAAAACGTAACGCCCCTCCCCCCAGTGCGCTCCAGGCACTGCCGCCGTGCGCACGGCGGGGGGGAGGTGTTACAGTGTACCCCCCCCCCCCTGGCCTCCCCCCCCTATAATGCCCATGATCGCCGAAAATGGAAAAACGCGCTCCTACCTGCTGCTGGACATCCTCCACCACCTGCCCCAGGGCAAGGCCGAGCGCCTGCTGAGCTGCCTCAGCGCGCGGGAGAGGGCCCTGGAGGACGTGCGCAGGCGCAGCCGAGCGGAGGGCGAGCGAGCCTGCGGCGGCGGTGGCTGGCCGCTGGGCGCCCAGAGCCGCGGCAGGTCGAGCCCGGCGCGGTTGTGCGCAGAGGTGCCAGCGGGCCCGAGGGCGGCCGGGGGCGACAGGGCCCGCCGGGCGTGCCGCCGGCTGCTCTCGCGCGCCATCGGCGAGGGGCACGTGTACGTGATCCACGGGCTCGTCGACGCAGGGCTGCAGCTGCCAGTGGACATCATCCGGGGCGACGCAGGCCTGGCTGGCGAGGCCGTCCTCTGCGGCCGCGCGGACGTGCTGAAGGCCCTGCTGCGCCTAGGCGCCCCAGCCGACGGCGAGGACGCGAGCGGGCTGAGGCCGCTGCACTACGCCGCCATGGTGGGCAGCACGGAGATGATCACCATGCTCCAGCGTGCAGGCGTGGATGCCAGCACCAGGAGCAGAGGTGGCGCCACCGCGATGCACTTCGCCGCAGGTCGCGGTCACGTCGGCGCCGTACGCCTGCTGGTCAGTTTTGGCGCGACGCCCAGCCCCGAGCAGGAGAAGAGGTTCGCGCCTGCGCACTGGGCGGCCCAGAACGGCCACGCCTCGGTCCTCAAGGCGCTGGCGAGCCTCGGCGCGCCGATGGACACGCTGGCGCTGTGCACTGAAGCGAAGACGGGCTTCCAGACCTGGGACGCGCCAGTGCACATCGCCGCATTCCACGGCCACGTGGCTGTTCTGGAGGTGCTGGCGCAGCTCGGCGCCGCACACACCAGAAACTCCCAGGGCTCCACCGCAGCCCACGCCGCGGCGTGCGGGGGCAGCACGTGCGCCCTGGAGGCGTTGGCCCGACTGGGCTGCCCCATCGCTGTCGCCAATCACTTCGGCGCGACCCCTCTCCACTCCGCCGCCGTACGGGGACACGCCTCGTTCATCCAGGCGCTTGCGAACCGCGGCACGGCGGTAGACACACTGACGATGACCGATGAAGAGAAGACAGGTCTTCAAAGCAAGGACGCAGCAGCGCACATGGCCGCATTCCACGGCCACGTGGTCGTACTGGAGGTGCTGGCGCAGCTCGGCGCCGCAAACGCCACGAACTCTCACGGGTCCACTGCAGCCCACTCCGCGGCGTGCGGAGGCAGCACGCGCGCCCTGGAGACGCTGGCCCGGCTGGGCTGCCCCATCGCCGCCGCCAATCATTTCGGCAGGACCCCCTTCCACGACGCCGCGGAGCGGGGGCACCTGTCCGTGCTGCGAACGCTGCTGCGACTAGGGGTGGCGTTCTCTGACGTGGCCCAGAAGGCTGACATGTTCGGCAGGGTGCCGCTGGAGATTGCCGCCGAGAGGGGCCACGAGGCGGTTGCAGAGTGGCTCGTGAATGGCAGGCGGTGGGTGGTCGTCGGCGGCCTCGGCGCCGGCGGCATCGTGGTGCGAGATGGCCCGAGCGCGCGGTCCGAGCAGCTGCCGGAGAGGCTGGGCACCGGCGCAGTGGTGCTGGAGCTCGCGCTGGAGGCGGGGCGCATCAACTTCTCGAAGGTGTCGGGCGCGGGTCCGTGCTGCGGCTGGGTCTGCGCGCAGCTGCCGAGCGGCAGAGCGCTGCTGGACGAGTTGCAGCGGGCCCCCCCGGGCGATAACGGAGAGGCTGCGAGCCAGCGCGCAGCGCCCAGGGGGGAGCGCGGCGGTGAAGCAGGCGCCGCTGGCGGCGCGAGGAGCACAACGACGTCGCGCCAAGATCTCGTCCTCGCGCCGCCTGGTGATCGCTCATCCTCGTTCACGGGGGGGCCGCCAGTTTTCTCGGCTGGCCCTCCGGCGAAGACCCCCCCTTGCTCGAGTCGGACGACAGGTAGGATAGGGAAGGGAGGGGGTACGAAATTTGCTGCATGAAGCTGGTTTCGATACACACGGCCAGGCACTTTACTCGATACATTGGCGCATACGGCGCCAGGAGGCGCCAGGAACACTAGCTACGTGAGCTGATTCGCCCACCCCCTTTGATAATCCCCCCATTCGTCTCTCCGACTCCAGCTCCCGTCTCTCTGCAACTGGTCGCCTTTCCGATTCCGGTGTCCATCTCTCCGACTCAGGCTCCCATCTCCGACTCCTGCCCCCAACACGTCTCCCGAGGGCTATGGCCACCCCGCGCTGCCCTCTGAGGGCCGGTCCCGCCGGGCCCACATCGCGCGCTCGCCTCGCCTCGCCTCCCCTCGCGGCGAGGGGGAGTGGGATGAGGGCGACGGGTGATGTGGAAAGGAGGCGGAGGGGGAGGGGTGATGAGGCAAGAGAGCAGCAGCGACGGCAGCAGCCCGCGGCACAGGAGACGCAGCCCGCAGGCACACGGGCGCGCAGCACGCGCAGCGCACTGTCGCGAGAGGCCGCCTGGCCTTGCCACGGAGCGCAGAAAGTGCACCACGTGCCGCGAGCGCTCTCAGAGGAGGGGACACCACCCGGACCCGACAGCTGGCGTTTACTACACGGCCCTGGGCGTTTATGAAACGGCCCTGCCCTGTTCGATTCCTTCTCTGGGTGCGTTTTCTAAACGGCTTCGCGTGTCGGGGTGATTAGTACGAGGGTGGATTCTGCTGCTCTCCACGAACGTCCCCTGGCAAGCACGCGTTTCTCTCCGGGCCCCTCGTGGGCCCCACGGCGAGAAAACGGCGGCCCTCCCAAAGGCCAGGAGCTCTGAGGGGTGGGCCTGGCTGCTGGGCCTCCTTTCTTCCCCGCTCCTCTTGCGTCCTGACCCGCTCGAAGAAGAGAGGACTAGATAAACGTCAACTTTCGGCGGTAGACGCGGATGCCATGGGATCGGCGCTGGATCCCCCTCCCTGGCGCGCGAAGCGCGGCAGGGGCGGCGCCAAAGGCGCCGCCAGATGGGTCCGGCGCCGATCCAGAAAATCCGCGCGGACCTCCAGTGATGTATGTTCGTTCAGCTTGTTCTGTTCCGCCTGGAGGAGAAGGAGGAGAAGGAGGAGGAGGAGAAGGAGGAGTAGGAGGAGGAAGGGGAGGAGGAGGAGGAGGAGGAGGAGGAGGAGGAGGAGGAGGAGGAGGAGGAGGAGGAGCAGGGGAGGAGGAGGAGGAAGGAGGAGGAGGAGGAGGAGGAGGAGGAGGAGGAGGAGGAGGAGGAGGAGGGAGGAGGAGGGGAGGAGGAGAGGAGGAGGAGGAGGAGGAGGAGGGAGGGGAGGAGGAGGAGGAGGAGGAGGACGAGGAGGAGGAGGAAGAGGAAGGAGGAGGAGGAGGAGGAGGAGGAGGAGGAAGAGGAGGAGGGGGAGGAGGAGGAGGAGCTGCTTCCTGTGCGCCGAAAGCCACGAAGAGAAGGGGGAAGGGGAGTCCCTGAGGTTCCTCTCGGTTCCTCGCCGTGTGGAGGCTAGCCCCGCATTCGGCCACTGGGGGCCCTCCCCTTCCTGGGCCCCGGGCCCGTCCGAAACACGACTTTGGATGAGAGAGTGATCGTTTTATATCCATTGTTTTGCCGATCGGCGCGGGCCCCCCCAACCTTCCCCCCCCCCCTGGAGTAGATCTTGGCTGTGTTTGGGCGCCTGTTTCGAGCGGGTGGAGTCTCCCCCAGGGGCAGCACTCCTGCAAACACTCGCACTGAGCAGAGGTCTGGAGCCAGACCCCCCCCCCTCCCCCCTCCCTTTCTGCCCAAGGTCGAAACGCCGAATAAAGAAACGCTCACAACTTGGTCCGGGGAGGGAGCCCGGGAGTCAGGAGAGGAAAGACAACACACAGACACAACGAATCGTCGACCCCCAGGGAAGCAGGAGAGAAAATGTATGGGGAGAATCCTGGGAGTTGTGTCTATTTGCGTGTGTGTGTGTGTGTGTGTTCCTGGGCCCCTTCCGGAAGGCCAGGGAAGGAGGAGGGAGGAGGCACGAGGAGTGGGGGGGCGGGACGGGAGAAGGGACGGGAGGAGGGAAGAGAGAGGAGGAACAATTCGGGAGGATGGACGGGGGGAGGGAGGAAGAAATGGGAGGAGGAGGAGGAGGAGGAGGAGGAGGAGGAGGAGGAGGAGGAGGAGGAGGAAGAGGAGGAGGAGGAGGAGGAGGAGGAGGAGGGAGGAGGGATGCGGAAGGAGGGAAGAGGAGGGAGGGGGGAGGGGGGGGAGGAGGAGGGAGGCTGGAGGAGGAGGCGATTCCCCTCGAGCGCCACCACCGGAGGGCGAGGGGCAGGGAGGGACGGCGCGCGGCGGCGCGGGACGGGCCGGGCGGGCGAGGGCCAGAGTGCGGGTGGGGTCGCGGGGCAGGGAGAAGTCTAGGCTTTGAAGTCGGGCCTGCTCCTGAGCAGGAGGGAGATTCAAAGGCAGCCAGGAAATAGTA